CTATTTGAACTATATTCTTTTTTTCTCTCTATTGCATACTAATTGTATTAAAGTTCTTTTCTATTATAGGTTTTACATACTAAGAGTATGGTTTGTTTTTATGTGGTAGTTTAGAGCTGGCAGGTTTTGGGGTCCCAGGGTGCTCTTCATTCTGCCTGCTAACAATAAGAAGAAAACTGTACAGCTCTTGGGCCTCCCCGGTGGCGCAGCGGTTGAGTGCTGGGTTGCAAAGCTGCCCGCAGCCTCTGCAGCGCTGGTTCGATCCCCGGCCGCTGGGCGAGGGTCCCACATGGCGCGTAGACCTCTCCTGCCGCCCGCTGCTCCCCTCAGCAGTGTACTTCATCATTCTGCCTGCTCTGCTCTCCCTTCTGGCTCTGGTGAATTCATTCTCTCACCCTCCCGCGCTTCTGACTGTACCCAGTGCTTGTATAAATAAATAAATCTTTTAAAAAAAAAAAAAAAGAAAACTGTACAGCTCTTTAAAATCATAGCAAGATTTGGGCCTCCCTGGTAGCCTAGGGGTTAATTCTTCAGCACTATCACCACAATGGCCTGAGTTAGATCCCTGGGAAGGGAGTTGACCCACATACAGCGGAGCAGACCTCTCCTGTCTTGCCCCTTGCTCCCCTTAGCAGTGTATTTCAATAAATCCTCCTGTTCTGCTCCCCACTCTGTCTCTAGCGAATTCTCTCACCTCCCACACCTCTGCCTAAACCCCATTTCTTCTATGCAGTAAATAAATCCTTAAAAAAAAAAAATAAAATCATAACAAGATTTGGGCCTCCCCGGTGGTGCAGGGGGTTGAGCGCAGCGCTGTGGAGCTGTCTGCAGCCTCTGCAGTGCTGGTTCCATCCCCGTTGGCCTTGGAGATGCCCACATGGCAAGCAGACTTCTTTCTCACCCGCTGCTCCCCTCAGCAGTGTATTTCGGTCAGTCTGCCTGTTCTGTTCCCCACTCTGTCTATGGTGAATCCTCTCACTTTCCTGCACATTTGGCCTGTACCCCAGTTTTTGCACAAATAAATAAATATTTTTTTTAATCATAACAAGATTTATAGTATTCTGTGTGCTTGGAGTCTGTTATTCACCAAAATTTACTAATTTAATAATAATAAAATAATATAAATATAAAACCTTCTTAGGAAATTACTGCATAAAACATTTCAAAAAATTAGTAAACTAAGAAAAAAATGGAATCCAAGAATCAATGAATCTAACACAAAAAAGAAAACCATAAGTGCTATACAACAGTCACAGAAAACACATACTACAACAAGAGCCTGCAGGCTCAAAAAACAGGACTCCAACAAAATGGAGCTAATTACTGGGAAAGGTGAGAAAAATTAAAGTACTAAATAAACAGAAATGTTCATGATTCAGAAAATTCAATATTGTTAAGGTATTGGTTCTCCCCCAATTGTCCTACAGATTCAAAGCAATCCAAAGCAAAACCCCAGGCAGCATGTTGGGGAAATGAGCAAACTAATTCTAAAATGCATACGAAAATAAAAAGAGCTAAGAACAGCAAAGGTTCACTGTATACTAGTAGGTATCAACATTCATAATAAATTTATAATGACTAGAACAGTATAATGTTGGCAAAAAGATTTAAAAAAAAACATTAGTGGAATAAAGTCTAGAAGTAAGTTTGTACATAGTTACCTAATTTGCCACAAAAATAACACTTCAGTACAGTGTAGGGATGAAAGTATAGACTTTTAAAAATATGGTCCTGTCTTAATAACATATTCACATAGAAAATGAAGTCTTGACCCAATCTCACACCATACACAGGGTATCTACTTCAACTAGACCATGAAACTAAATATGAAAGATTAAACAATAAAAATTCCAGATTGCTACAAAACATCTTCAACATTAGGGTAACGATAAATTCTTGAATAGGGCATAAAAAGTAGTGACTATAGAAGAAAATAAATTAAATTTCATTAAAATTAAGAAATTGTTTTCATCAAAAGAAACTTAATAGATTAAAAAGGCAAGCCACCAAAAAACAGGTTTTCTGCGTAAGACTGAAGAGGTATCTGTAATACATACATCTGACAAAGGATTCAAACCCAGCATACTCACAGAAACACCATAAAAGAAAAAAGCCAACAAGAAACTTTCACATGCACTTCACTAAACAAGATATCTAAATACCCAATCAACATATGAAAAGTTTCTCAACTTCATTAGGAAAATGCAAATCAAATCCACAAGCACAACTCTCATTCACTGCTGGTAAGGAGGCAAATACCACTTTAGAAAACCATTTCAAAATATCTTCCAAAGCTGAAAAACACATACCCTATAGCACAGCAATTTCACTCCTTAGATATATACCCAACAGGCCACATTCCTAGTAAACAAAGACACACACATAAGAATGTTCACAGTGACACTATTCATAAGTCAATGGCAAGTAATGGCAACAACATGGAATATCTAGAACTTTCAGATACCGCTGGTGGGAAAGCACAATTGGACAATTTAGAAAACAGTTTAATCACTTCTTCAATAGTTAAACATAAACTTACCAAGTTTATATTTCCATTCCTAGGTATATACTCAAAATATATGAAAACTGGGCCTCTCTGGGGACGTAAGGGGTTAAGCACCGCACTATGAAGCAATCCACAGCCTCTGGAGCACGAGTTCAATCCCTGGCCGGCCAGGGAGAAACCCACATGGTGAGGCAGACCTCTCCTGTCTTGCCCACTGTTCCCCTCAGCAATGTATTTCAGTCAGTCTGCCTGTTCTGTTCTGTTCCCCACTCTGTCTCTGGTAAATCCTCTCACCCCCCCACCCCACCCCTGCATCTCTGGCCTTTACCCCAGCTCTGGTATGCATGAATAAATAAATCTTAAAAAAAAAAAAGAGTAAGTGAATGATTACAGCAGCATTAAACATAATAGTCAATTATTATGGAAACACTTTGGAAACAATCCAAGCACTCATCAATAAGTGAATGAACAAATTGTAGTATTTATCTATACCATGAAATACCACTCACCAATAGGAAGGAATGAACTACTGATATGTGATAAAACACATATGAACTTCAAAAACATTTGCTAAGTGAAAGAAGCCAGACAAGCTACGTACAGTTAAGAATACATTTTTATGACATGTCTAAAAAAAGATAAATTCAGATAAAGTTAATGGTTCCCATGGGCAACAGAGGTTAATTGCAAAGAGGCACAGGAAACTCACTGGTTTGATGAAATGGCTTAGGAAACTAATTTCTCATTTGTTATAAGAATGAATCAAGCAATAATGTTTAGAGTTGATAAAGCAGCATCAGTTGATTTATAAACCTATTATTTAGAAATGTGGAAGTGATAACTAGGAGAGCCAAAATAGGAATCCGCTTTTAATTTTTCCTCTGAGAAATTCAACTGAATGTGATACTTTATATTTTTCATCATGAACCTGTCACTCTTCATAAGTGACATGTTATATAAGAATATATGCTTAAATCATGTTACAGACGAATACAGGATACAAAAACTTTCACTTTGTATTAAATTTTAAAGCAGATCATACATTTTGATCCCAATGGAAATACATCTATAAAGGCATAATAACTGTTACTATTTTACAGGATTTTAAAGAGGATTAGACTAAGTAACAAGTAAAATAATCAACAAAGTACCTAGTATAGAGCAAGGATTCAATTAGTTACTTATCAATACAGTACTTATTACATACGCATAGGATAAGGTTAAATATTGATATTAGATATTAGAACTGATGCCATTCACTATATAAAGCACCCGATATATAACAAGCACTCAGTAATTAATGAATGAATTAACAAGTTTATATATCTTTAAAGGAATAGACTGGTCCCTTCTAAGGCTACCAAATGAAATAAAGACTAAACAACAGCTGGTTAACTACAATAAATTTAGAATAAAATAAAGTCAAAGTCTAACAAAGTACCAAAAAAAAAAAACCATGCCCCCTTTCATTACTTATGAGTGACAACAGCAGTAACTATGGTTACCATGTACAACATTTTCTAGGTATTTTTCCTTCTAATGTTCTCCTGCATGTATTTTTTTAATTAATATTTGGTTTTGTGTAGAAGAACTGGGGTGTAGACTAGAAGTGCAGGAGGTAAGAGGATTCATGAGAGTTAGTGGGCAGCAGAAACAGGTGGTCTTACTGAAATACACTGCTAAGGGGAAGCAGCAGACCAGACATGAGAGGTCTGCTGCACCATGTGTGGGTTAACTCCCAGGTCAAGGATCAAATTTAGGTCAAAGTCAGGCATTAGTGGTGATAGCCCTGAGTCTTAGCCCCCCTGGCCACCAAGGAAGCCCTGTGTATATTTTAAATTTTGTCATAAATATCACTGTCATAATTTTGGGAGGAGGGATCAATTTTAGAATTCTATTCCACATAGAAAGTAATTGCTTACAAGGACAAATTTTTCCAAATTATGTTAAGATATTTTTGTACAAGGAAGAATAATTATTTATTCTTACATAACGACAAAAGGATACATCAACATAACTTTTTCTTAGCACACACATTTAGCTACCTGGAGGAAATGCTTTAAGTTTCCGTAAAAATAGCTTTTGACCATCTATTGAAAGTACATCATTCTCTATCGGCAGGGTGGGTCCTAATGAGAAATAAATGCCTAACCGAACAAATAAAATAATCAGCCTTTCATAAAACAGCAGAGAAGGGGGTATATAAGGGAGAATATATATATTTGTAAAATGTATCCATCATTATTTATACTTATACTTTACAAATGTTGTAAACACTTATTCTCCCATAAGCTTCACAGCCCTCTCTGCTGTAAGGAGCAATTTAGCTCCTCACCTGAAGACCCACATGGAGCAAGAGGAGAATCAGCATGAGACAGCCAGAAAAAAGAAAAGGGGGAAAAAGAGACACCAAGACTTCTCTCCAACAACCCTATATGCCCTTACGTCAACAGAGAGGTAGACCTAGGAGAGAGACTTCTATATCCGAGCTTACCTGTGCATACTCTCTTTCAATAGCAGCCTTCTTCTGACTGAATGTCCTAAAAACATAAATGAAAATTCATTACCAAAGCATAACGATAATTTCATGTAAATTTATCAACACACCTTCAAATACCACCTGGTAAGCAGTGTTGAGGGAAGGGATAATATTTCACTCATCTTTGTTCCTAGGAATATTGCTGATGTCATAGACTCTTAATTTTTTTTTTTTTAAGATTTATTTATTTACTTATACAAGCACTGGGTACAGTCAGAATCGCGGGAGGGTGAGAGAATTCACCAGAGCCAGAGCGGGGAGCAGAGCAGGCAGAAGGACCGAGGTACACTGCTGAGGGGAGCTGCGGGGGGCAGGAGAGGTCTGCACGCCATGTGGGACCCTCCTCTGGTGGCCGGGAGCAACCGGGGATCGAAGCGGTGTTTCAGAGGCTGTGGGCAGCTTCGCAACCCAGCGCTCAACTGCTGCGCCACCGGGGAGGCCATGCCATAGACTCAAAGTCAGACAATCTATATTCAAACGCTAGCTCCACACTTAACTAGCTGTATGACCTTGATCAAATCACTTGACTTCTTGTGCTTCAATTTCCTCCTTGAGAAAATGGGTATAGTAACAGTATTGCCTTCACAGGGAGAGTATAAAATTTAGTTAATTGAAATATGCACAGTGCTCAAAGTAGTCTTTAGCACACAGTAAAAACTAAGTAATTGTTAGCTACTGCTAGCATAGTAATCACTAAAAATATTTATCTTAATAACCACCATAGAGCACATTATAGAAAATAGGGTTAAAAACTAAATATTAATCAGTTTCTCAACATGGAAAAAAACACTTAAATAATTTCCTTCATACCACTCTTTTACAAAAGTTACATGTGAGCACCCTTTCCATACATTTCATAGATTCTAAGGTTAAGTACTTTTCACATTTCAACATTTGTGATAATGAGATTCATCTTTCAATAATGGACTTAGAAATTATTATTAATGCTACCAAATATGTAATCTCCCTATACACTATAAATATCCAGGTGAAAGAGACTAATTAAAATGAACTTGCTAATAATTTCACCATTTAAAAAATTTGAAAACTTACCTACATTTTGAAGGAGGTGGTATTTTTTTATCTTTTACAAAAGATAAAAAATATTTAAAGTATTTACTACTCTTTTAAACTTAGATGTAACTCTTGAAATAAGGATGTTAAAGTGACATTTGCAAGAAAATAGCAACTAAATCTTTTATTTTGAGCATGCTTATCGGCTAATTTTAAAATTGTCTGTGAAATTTTTAGTTTTTATTAAACAATTACATGTCTATTAAGCAATTTCCTATTAAGAAGCAGAAAACAAATCCAAGATGACAATTACTCAAAATCAGTATCATATGTATTAGCAAATCTATTTATCATTTGATATCAAGAGAGCAAAGTTAAAAAATCTTCTGATAATGTCCATATAAGATGAGGGCATTTATTAAAATTCAACATCAGTTTCCATTAAAATCTCTTTAAAAATAGGGCCTCCCTGGGGCCTCCCCGGTGGCGCAGGGGTTGAGCGCTGGGTTGTGAAGCTGCCCGCGGCCTTTGCAGTGCCGGTTCGATCCCCGGCTTCTCCCGGCCACCAGAGGAGGGTCCCACAAGGCGCGCAGACCTCTCCTGCGGCCCGCTGCTTCCCTCAGCAGTGTACTTTGGTCCTTCTGCCTGCTCAGCTCCCCGCTCTGGCTCTGGGGAATTTTCTCACCCTCCCTCGCTTCTGACTATACCCAGTGCATGTATAAACAAAACAAACAAACAAATAAAATAAATAAATAAATAAAGCATGCCTCTATTAAAAAAATATATATATTAAAAAAAAAAAAAAAATAGGGCCTCCCTAGTGGTGCAAGGGATTAAATCAGCACTATGAAGCTATCAACAGCCAGGGAGCTAACCCACTGTGGTACAGCAGACCTCTCCTGTCCTGCCCTCTGCTCCCCTCAGAAGTGCATTTCAGTAGATCTGCCTGTTTTGCTCCCCACTCTGTCTATGGTGTATCCTCTCACCCCCTGCACCTCTGCCCTGCACCCCAGTTCTTGCATGCATAATAAATAATATTTTTTTAAATCTCTTTAAAAACAGACAAGAACAAGTGTTGACAATAATGCAAAGAAATTAGAACTTCATAAAGTGCTGGTGGGAATGCAAATGGAGCAGCTGCTTTGGAAAACAGTCTGGAAGTTCCTCAAAAGGTTAAACATAGAATTACCATATGACCCAGCAGTTCTATTCCGGGATATGTACCCAAAACAACTTAAAACATATGTCTACACTGAAACTGTAAATAAATGTTCATAAGCAGCATTATTCATAATAGTCAGAAAGCAGAAACAACCCAAATACCCACCAACTGATAAACAAAATTTGGTATATTCATATAGTGTAATATTATTCAGCCAGAAAAAATTAAATACTGATACATGCTACAATATGTTAAGTGAAACACTATATTAAGTAAAAGAAGTTACATATAAAACACCACCTATTATATGATTCCATTTACACAAAATGTCTAAATAGGCAGGTCCAGAGACAGAAAGTAGACTAGGGTTTAGGGTTAAGGAGTTGAGATAAATTTGCCTACTCTAATAATAAAGTATGTTTCTTCTAACTATATAAGTTGATTATAAAGTTCATGTAGGAAAAATTAAGACTAGTTTTACGTTTAACAATAGTTGTAAAAATTCTGGGGCAACAGTAATATTTAAAAACACCTACCCCCACCAGATATTATTTTAAAAGCAACAGTAATTTAAATAGTTTGGTAATGGAACATGAGTAGACAGATAGGCCAGAAATTACCCAAAATGCTATGAAGTTAGTAACTGAAAAAGGGGAAAATATGGATTATTTAGTTAATGGAGACACCTTTGCAGAAGATGCAATGCTAAATTAATAATTATAGAATAATGTATATAGTATTCTGTCTTTTCCTATAAAAATATTTACATTTAGATGTTGAGTTATGGTAATTATATTTCTCAATTATAATAGTTCCTCAAATGAAAAAACTTCTGTGCAAAAATGCCCACTTTGGTTCACTGAGGAAATCACTGTGAAAGAATTTTCTGCAATATTTAAAGGAAAACTGGCTTTAACATTAGCTCCATATGAAGAAAGGAACTGACAGGAGTAGTAGAAGACCTTTTATTCCATCCTTGCTTGTATTATTTGAGTTTATAACACATATATTTTTTATTGAGATGAAATTTACATGACATACGACTAATCATTTTGAAGTGTACAATTCAACAGCAATTACGGCATGTGCAATATTGTCTCCATTTCCAAAACTCTTTTTTTAATAATGTGTGTCACTCTATGGGTTTTTTAGTTTATTTGTATTTATTTATGCATAGAAGAACTGGGGTGTAGACCAGAGGTCCGGGGGGCTGAAAGGATTCACCAAATACAGAGTGGGGAGCAGAACAGAGGGATCTACTGAAATCCAGGGAGCAGTGGTTACATATAAAACACCACCTATTATAAGAGAGGTCTGCTACACCATATGTGGGTTAGCTCCCTTGTAGGGATCAAATTCAGGCTACTCAGGCCTCAGTAGTGACAGCATGATAGTGCTAAAACTTAACCCTACACCACCGGAGAAGCCCCTACTTCCAGAATGTTTTAACCATTCTGGAAGAACACCTAGACTCAAATAATCACTCTCCATTCCCTTCCTCCATTGCCTAGTAACAACTAATCTAATTTTCTGTCTTTATAGATCTGCTTACTCTGGATATTTCATATAAAGAAATCATGTCGTATGTGACTTTTTGTGCCTGGCTTCTTTCACTTAGCATGTTTCCAAAGATCCACCATGTATGTATCAACACTTCATTCCCTTTTATGACTGAATAATTTTCTGCTGCAAGGATATATAGTCATGTAGGACTAAACAAGGATACCTTCTGAGAAATATGTTAGGTGATTTCAGCACTGTGTAAAATTAATAATGGTATTTGTTATTTTCCTAAACCATTTTACTGTCATAGCAATTCAAGCAGACATCCATGACTTTTTAGTACTCCTGTAGTACTCACTGGTAGTGTACACTAACACATCACAAAGCAATAGGAATTTAAGGACCACTGCCATAGAGGTAGTCTGTCATTGATCAAAATGTCATTATGCAGCATAGGACTATAATTTTCTCATCCATTCATTCACTGATAAGACATGGGTTGTTCTGACATCTTCATTGTTGTGAAAAATAATGCTATAAATATTTGTTTAGAAGCTTCTACGTAGAGATATGTTTTAAGTTTTCTTGGATGCAAATGTAGGAGTCAAACTGATAGGTCATATGCTAATTCTATTTTTTTTTTTTTTAAAGATTTATTTATGTATTTATTTATTTGTTTGTTTGTTTGTTTATACAAGCACTGGGTACAGTCAGAAGTGCGGGAGGGTGAGAGAATTCACCAGAGCCAGAGCGGGGAGCAGAGCAGGCAGAAGGACCGAAGTACACTGCTGAGGGGAGCAGCGGGTGGCAGGAGAGGTCTGCGCGCCATGTGGGACCCTCCTCTGGTGGCCGGGGAGCAGCCGGGGATCGAACCGGCGCTGCAGAGGCTGCGGGCAGCTTCGCAACCCAGCGTTCAACCGCTGCGCCACCGGGGAGGCCCTGCTAATTCTATTTTTAACTTTTTAAACTATCAATTTTCCATAATGGCCACACTACTTTAACATTTTCACTGCATGCATATTTTTAAAATTTAACAGTTAAATAAAAGAAACTAAATCTTTTAAATTAATCCATATTACATTCATTCAAAAGATTTTTATATGGCCAGTGAAAGAATGCAGTGGCTCTATATGTACTGATAATAAACACTTAATGGCTATCAAAGGCCACAATACAGAGTCCAATGATATGGCAGTGAATAACAGACACAAAGTAGGACTAACGGATAGTAAAGAAATCATTAAACAAAGACTTATTTAATGATAAATGGAATAATTATAAGTACTACGAAGAAAGCTACATTATCTGGTATTTTTAAAAAG